AAAAAGCTTAATAAAGTACTAATGTGATTGCTTATATTTTTTTTTTTTTTAAAAAAAAATATGATATTTATAATTATAATTACACCAATATAATTGGCAAATTATATAACTAATTATACAAAGAAATGCAAACTGATATTAGATAGTACAAACTCAAAATAAGTTCTTATAGCTATATAAATTTGTAAAAATTAAAGAATAAAAAGTCTATTTAAAAAAACCTAAGCAAAAAGATAGTCCAAAATTTTAACAATACTACTATAAAGATTAGCTTTATGAAATAAATATTAATGTAAAAGAATTGAACAAGCAAAAACTTTAGATAAGAAATACTGCTAATCAAACTACTAAAATCTGAATAAAAGAAAAGAATATTAAGCTAATTTGATATACTAATAAACTAATTATAGTTTTAAAGACTATCTAAATTGAAAGTCTAAAGACAAAAGCAGAATATACTAAAGTATTTCAAATATGCTATAAAATCATACTAGAGTTTAGATAAACTCTGTAAGGACATAGTAATTTAATAATTAATCTTAATTACAAGTATTAATTTAGTAATAATAATATTAAATTAGCTGTAAAATAGAGATACAAAAAGTTTTAAAAGATTTACTTTAAGAATAAAATAGTTCTAGATTAAGACAAAGAATTGAACATAACCTAATAAACTAAATATAGATTGCAAGTTTAAAGAATTTAATATAAAATACCTAAACAGAAGTGTTAAATATAGCAATTAGTAAAAAACCTTTAAGTAAACTTTTTAAATAAATAATATGAAGAACTTATATATATAGCCAATTGTATAATTTTTCTGTAATAATTTTATACAAAACATATTACTAAAAATGTTTATTTTTTTTTTTTTTGGTATTAAGGTGACTTCTTTGGTCTGAGCTTTTTATTAATACTTATAGCAGATACATGTTTTATATAGACTTATCTATAATGAACTATTAGACGAGTGTACAACTGGCTACACATGTAACTTTTCTATATTACCTATTTAAGAAGTCTGCCTGAGGGTTCTCCACCAGTTGCCGTATCTAACACCCCTGCTTAGATGTTTCATTTAAACCCTCTGATCTAACCCTAGTATTAATTTCATCAGATCATAGACCTGGATCTATTCACATTCGACCATAAGACTATAATCCTTAGACTATTTTTATCCTTGAGGTAAACCTACCAGAGCGAGCCATATTCCCTTTTATTACTAACCTGGTTTGACGCTATGACCAGGGCCAACACTTGCAGTCAGGGTTACCCTTTAAACCACTATTACCCTTGTAAAGTTTACCCAAACCCTGGTACCCATCTTTCCAACTTCTTCTCCATCATCTTCTACTAGCCGCAACTCAGAACCAACAACAAACTTTCTCAGACTCCCAATCCAGATGGCCCGGTATGGTATACTTATGTTTCCTTTTCCTCTGGTGATTCCAGCGGCCTGGTTGGTCATGTGCTCCTCTACTCATCTTTGTCATTCGGTTTATCTGACAGTTCCTATAAAGGTGTTTTATGGGCTTCTGTCAGTCCAATGGCATCATCAAAAGTTTGTACTACCTCTTTACTCGGGATTTCCAAGTGAGTTTTTATCTCTTCGGTTTCTTAGCCTTCTACACCCAGTGGTCTTATCATAGGTTTGCCTGAAGCCTTAACTAAAAATGTTTATAAAAATCAAAAGATTCAAAAGATCATTTTAAAAATATATATATATATATAATTAAAGAAGTATATTATACTATAGGAAAAATTAGTATAAAAAAAATATAATTATAAAATATATAATAAACATATTTCTAATCTTTAGAAACTTAATAAATAAATATTAGATATAAGAGTTTAGTAACTTAGTGAAGTGAATAAGTTATTAATTTCTTAAATAATAACTTATAAGTTCAAACTTATTAAAAGAGAAAATTTGAACAATTATCTATGCAATATATCATATAATGCTAATAGTATTTTTTAATTAGTTAAAATAAAATATCTGTAACTACAGTTGCACTAGCTGACTAACAGGTTATAGGTATTTGTGTAACCTTAGTTATACAAAAAAATGCAAACTAATACTAGATAGTATAAATTCAAGATAAGTTATATAAATTTATAAGACTAAGTAAACTAAAACCTATTTAAAAAGACTTGAATAGCAAGATAATATAAATTTTCAATAATATTATAAAAGTTAAACTTAGTAAACAGATATCAATATAGAGAAATTAGGTAAACAAGAACTTTTAAATAAAAGGTACTACTAATCAAATTATTGAAATTTAGACTAAAAAAAAAAAAAATTAAGTCAAACTTAATATACCAAAAACAAATACCGTTTTACTAAGCTATTTGAATTAAAATTCTAAGAATAAAGCAAGAATATACTAAAAGTACTAAAGATATACTGTAACATTAGTATTAGAATTTAAGTAAACTTTGCAAAAACATAATCTTGTTAATAATTTATAGAGTAAATAGGTTAGTTAATAGAGAGGCATCTTGAGCTTTATATTTAAATAATATACTTTGAAGTAGATAACAGCTTGATAATTATACAGAAAAAGAGACTAAATATTAGGTTAGATGATAGTTAGATGTACAAAAACTAATATACTATTTGTTAAATGTAGTATAAATATCAGAGTATTTTTCTAGCAGATTACAGATGTAGCAACTAGTATAAAACTTGTAAATAAACTACTTAAATAAATAACTAAAAGTTGTATATATAACTAGTTGTATACTTACCTTGTACAAATTATATAAACATAATTAAAAATACAATAAAAATATTAACTACTGTTAATATAAATCTTAGTAAAAGCAAAAAAAACATCAAATGTATATATAATAACAAAATGTCAAGTATGTTAAAATAAGATAAAAAATATATAATTTTTCTATATATACTATATATGATTTTTATAAAAAAATAGAAACAAAAAAAATAAAAATAAGAAAAATATCAATTAAAAATCTAATTTTAGAAAGAATTCAAAACAAACTAATACAATTTCTAAATATAAAATTAAGACAGTAATTTACAAATATAATGATAAAAACAACTTAAAATACATTTTATAAACAATTATAATGAACATAATGTAAAAAAACTATGAATAAAAAAAAAATAATAATAATAAATATGATGAAAAAAACTTAAAAGAAAAAGAATTTAATAAAAGAAAAAAAATAAATTAAATTAAAAAAAAAACCAAAAAAACAATTTGAAACTTGTCAATAAAAGAAAAACTATTTTATTATAAACTTTAAATAGTCAAACAAGCAATTTACTTCTAGTGCAACAAGTTATGCTTAAATACTGTTAGAATAAATAATGCTAGTTTAGATATTAAAGTATAGTTTATCTTTATTTATATTAATCTATTTAAATTAATTTTAAATTATATTAATAATAATATAAATAAAAGATTATATAAAATTGATATATATTATTAAAGGTAAAACTGATATGTTGAAAAATCTGAAAAGTAATTATCATAGTAACCTACTTATTTATTGATAGTACCTATTATAATCCACTTGAAACATATGTACTTAGAAGACCATATAACAATACACAAGTTTTTATATAGAACCCCACCACCTTCTCTAATTAAAGAAAGATCAATTTGAACCAACCTGTTCACACTAATATGACTAAGAATAAACATTAATTCCACTTTACCTTATTTAGGTTAGGTGTGAGACAATATCAAAAAGATGTGATTGTAATAATTATGTTAGATTCTGACCTCAGGATGAATAATATTAAAATATTTCTCATCAGTTTTATGACAACTATGAGAAATATTAAAGTAACAAAGGCTGTGTCTATGAAGAGGTTAAAGATTAAAACAAAAAAGGTTGGAATTCAATAGAGAAAAAAAGAGAAGAATTGTGATCTTGTACATACTCTTTTCATTACCAATTTGTTATAAAAAAGATGGAATCTCCCTTCTTGTAAAGTAATCAAAATAGTTCACGTTTCTATAAAAATAATAAAATTATTAAAGATTCTCCAAATCCATAAAATACAATAATGTTCTTTAAAAATCTTTATACTTATTTGTAATGCTCCTTAATGATTGCCTTGACCTTGTGCCAAATCGTAATATCACCTCTACTAACCGTTGAGGAACGTTACGTGGCACACTCGATTTGCAAGCGACAATTCGTCGTATTTGCCCCATCTCTGAACTCGCCTTATTAACCCGTGACAATATGAAAGAATTTTAATATATAAAAATTTATAAAATTTTGACTTGTGACTTAGGCTGATGTTAATAAGGTTGATATTAACGGGGTCGACTGTACTGCGTAATTATTGTAAAATTTAAATAGATGCACAGTCCCGATGGTTCGATAGTCTTGGATAAAATTTTGCAAAGACCACTATTACATATTTAAAAACAAAACTATAGAACTGTTTCTTTTATTTAAACATGAAAAACTTTTAATAATATGCTATGTTTTCTGTTTCCTTAAAAAAAAAAAGAAAAAGGACAAGAAAGAACTTAATTTAGTTTCTTTTAAAAAAAGTGACTCTATAGCAAAAATTATTACCTATCGATCGTTATCGAAAAATCTTCATTAATGAATTTTATTATATAACCACATATCGCACACACCAATGTAACAAATTGTTACGAGAACATTTATTCTTACTTAATACGAGTATTAAATAAATAATAATCAATCAAATCAAACTTGACTTATACTTGTAAATTCTTAAAACAATTTTAATGAATATTTATTCTATTCGCGTCGATTAGTCTAAGTTTAAAATTTATTTGAATAATATAATTGACGACTATAGAAATTCGAATTGTGAAAAATGTGTGTATTGCATAGTGTCAGGCATGACGATTTAATGATCGATATGTTCGATCATTTATCGACCGACCATACTCAAAAAACTTTTTTTTATATTCAAATCAATTGAATGATTGATCATCCCCAAATCGATTTTCATCTCTAGTATATACAGTACATTAAATTTCATTTAGTTTATTGTGTATTATTGCGAGAACATTTTTCACAGGAAACGAATGATTGATTTTCATAAGTTTCTTCTGCTCTAAGCTGTACGAAATAGTGCACCAATCGGGAGCAATTTTTGATAAATACTCAAGATATTCGGCAATTTCATCTAATAGATACAAAAAAAAAAAAATGTAGCACACATCTTATCGTTGGCTAAAATCAACAATAAAGACTTACGCTGTGATATTGGAATATTCAAACTTTCTTTTAATGTTGCTATGACTTCTCCCATATACATAACATTTTTTTTAGATGACGCGTACATGCTGTTTTCAAATTAAAGAATAATCACAAATTCATATTATAATCTTTTCATTCGCTTTTAAAGGATACAAAGAGATTGAATCTGTCATATCTAATAAGCGGCTCAACATTGTTCTTTGATGTTTTTTTGCGGATGAGCAAGCAATTTCTTGAAATGCTTCTTCGAACGTCTTCTGACGTTTAGCTCGAACCTTGAAAAGAAGATTGATTGAATATTTAATGCATAAATGTACAAAAAAAAAACTTACTCTATCAATCAACTCTTTCCGTCGACAAGAAGCACTTGATTTACTTTTTTTACCGATTGCACGACCACTCATGGTTTCGATATCAAGTTAGCTCAACGCGTAGAACCCTAAAAAGGTATTTATATATTGATTGATTGATTGATCTACATACTGATTGATATTATGATAACCGATTAACCTATCTACCCGTGATTTCCTGTGATAATTAACCAATCAAAGTACATAATTTTTATACTGAAAACGAAAAAAAAACTTCGTACGTATAAAAACAATAAATGTACACAAAAAAAAGCTCATTTATATTTAGAGAATAGATAGATGCGTGTAAAGTAGGTAAATGTGATATTTATTGTTAAAAACCCAACTCATTACATTAAAAAATCGCAAACACACTGCAATAACCTACCAAATTTAATCATAAACTCAGATCTTTTTACTACAGTTAGGAATGAAAGTTTATTTAAATCTAACATAATAAAATAGTTTTAGACGAAAACGTTTCCAGTTACCTTCACTATACAGTATAATTTGGTCTGGTTCATGGGAATACTGATTATTTTTACATAGTAAATATAGACGTTCTATCGATGGTTTTTGCAGTGATTTTTTATTGGTGAAATGTTGTGTTCCCACAAAGTACTTTAAAGTATATAAATAAGTTACCCGGGCAATTGATTTACATCAGCCAATCAGACGAATGTCCCGGTTCCAACGTAAAATTTAACCGTTTCCAACACGTGAATTTATTTTGTCACCGAAAATTCACGTACAAGTGCTGCGACGTTTTAATTCAAAAAATGCCAAAGAAATTTAAGGGAGAGAACACGAGAGGTAGTGTCCATATATAAAGCAATTCTTGCAAATATTCTTTTCGAAGCTGACTGCTATGTCTATAAATTATTTTAGTCACTGCGGCAAAGGAACGTAAAGCTGCACACCAGGCAGAAGTAACTAAAGTAAAACAAGCTGAAAAAGAACGCAAAGATGCAGAAGAATGGTCTGTAGGCTCAAAGGATTCCTCTAAAAAAGAGTCACAGAAGGTTAAGAGGGTACGTTCTTAATTTTCCAAATTGATCCTATTGATCCTTTAGATTGTACGAATAAAGGTTTATATAACATAAGCACTGATCGCATATTTGAATCTTTGTTTTTACTTCTATAGGGAGCACTATTAGCCAAGAAGACCGAAGCTGCACGATTGCTGGAACAAGAAGAAAACGAACTTTCAAAACATAAACCATTATTAAAATTGACAAATAAGTCCGGCGAAGAGGTTTTATAATTTTTTTCTTGATTGATTTATTTGATTTACTTGTTTATTAATTGAGATTCTATAATTTAGAAAAAAGCTATAAAACGAACACAAGTTCAAGAGCAAGCAAGTGCAGAGCATAGACAAGTCCCTGAGTTTTCTGCTTCTAATATCGATGACGCTATAGATTTGATGACCGTCGTCACAAGTTCATCAACTGCTGTAGGAAGTGCTCCAAGACAGGCTGGAAGTGCCTTAAATATTGAAAAACATCCAGAGAAACGGTTTAAGGTTTATATTCTTTATTGACCTTGTTTAACTCGATTGTTTATTTTCTAAAAAGTATTTATTGTTATTGCCAGGCTGCTTTAGCCGCATATGAGGAACGCGAAATGCCAAGGGTTAAAGAAGAAAATCCAGGTTTGCGTTATACACAATATCGGGAAATTATCTACAAAAAATTTCAGGTTAGTTATATTCTTTAATATCAATCTCTCTTCTGAAAACGTCAAATGAATTCTAATTTTTTTAAAAAAATTCTGATCAAAAGAAATCACCAGAGAATCCTTTCAATCAGGAAAATATTATACGATATAATTCTTCTAAACATGTGCAAGAAACCTTGATAGAATCAACGAGAAAGGATATAGAAGATAGGCTACGAGTTTAGGCGAATGTTTACACAGGAGAATCTTATATCGCATGTGATAATACATGATTATTTGTTTTGATTCCAATACATTCGAGGTTTTAAGAATATTAGAGTATAGAGTTTTATATACGTCCAATTGTATATAATCTCAATATTGTATAGCATATATTTTTGCATTAGGTCCTTGGGAAGGTTTTAAGTCAGTGATCTTTGTTAAATGTAACAGGTTTATTATAATGATCATAATAAATTATATATTAATAAGCCATGAAATGTATTAATCATTGTGAAAAGATTTTAACATATTCCAGGTGGAAGTATAGGTAATTACTGGTAAAACACTACATAAAAAAGTTTCCTATATCTTGAATTTTTATCGCAATAAAAATTATTTTGTTAATAAGTAGTATAGTTATATATCTAACTTTGGCCAAAGCAGTAAACGTGCAAATATTATTTTTTCCTTCGCTGTAGAAACACAGTACCAGCTATAGATATTTTTATTACTTCTGATATAACATTTACACATTTACTAATTTCAGATATAGCAAATTAAAAGATATTCATAATATTTTATCTAAATAACGTTACGTACTTTAAACTATTGGAAATATACGTATTATATTATGACTTGTCAATTTTTTTTCGGATTATGTTATCTGGTCATTTAAAAGTCAATGAGGTCACAAGATCTTGCGTAATTAAACGAAGTGAAAAAAAACTAAACAAAAGCGATACGATATCAATTACAAACCGGAAATTAAATACATATCACAGAACAGACCATCATGCTATGTAACAATTAAAGTTTTATGACGTATTAATAGATTTTTCGACTTAGTTTGAGTTAATCTACTTCATTCTAACCATTTGTTCCACATATACCAGAGGCAGTGCATCAAAATTTATAGTACGTATTGGTATAGGGGAACTTATTAATAAAATTGATTAATAATCAGTTGATTTATAGAAAGTTTTTTTTTGATACGTATCGATATTACATTTTGATCTAATTTATATAATAATATCACATCGAATAAATTTCTTCTTAAAGATGTTAACACTTTTAAATAAATATCCTCAGTGCAAAAATGATTTTAATGAAAAGAAAAGAAAATTTATTGTACCTTTTGAAAATGTTTTGTCAATCATCGTAAATAACACTAGAAAAACGGCGACGTTTTGTGGGCTGGAGCATTAATTATTAGGTCTTACACCTTGAAATCAAATTAAATAGTATTTAGATTTTATAAATTACTATTACTTGTAAGCTTACATTATAAGAAAGCAACTTTTGATTCTTCTCATTCTGCATTGTTTTGTAATCTGACAAAGAAAAAGCAAGTGTACGAATCTTTAATACGCCTAGATGTAAGACTGGTTGCAAATTCCTTGTTTTCAAGATTTATTACAGCATGTGATAACTTTAAGCATTGTGGTTATAAATTGTCATCGCCCAAGCAGAACATAAAAAACTACATGTGGAGCAATTTTTTTTCCAATGAGTCGAATTATTATTACTTTGTTATAGTTTAATATTGAAATGCTCTAAATCGGTGAGCCCGAAGTTTGACTTCGTGTAACGGTCGGATGGTTTCAGGTCGAAAAAGGCGTTTAGATTTGGCGAGTGGATTCGATTCAGGTCGGATTATCAAGGATAATCTACTACTTCGAGAATTGCACTATTTCACACTATGTCGGAACTACTGGACAAATCAGGATTTTACTAACTTTTTACAGATAGGTTTGTACTTTAACACAATGATTCTTTACAGTCACTCGTAGAAGGATCCTGAATTCGATGTTTTTATGATACGAAATCCACTTTATTCACTTAAGCAAATTACATGATATTTATAAGAAAAATTATATCTATTTCTAGGATGCCAATATCCCATATAGCCATTATCCGCTTATAATGATTATATTGCTTATATCGCATATATTGATTATAATGATTATAATTAATATATGCAATGTAAGCATTATACGTAATTATCGGCATTATAATCATTATAAGAACAGGCATCCCATTTTTAGTAAGAGATCTTCACAGCCGGGGGCGTGACTAATGATCGTCGACTAAATGGATAATATAGATAGCGATAGTGTATAATTGCACATTTTAATTATAGTATAGGCAACGAAGGCTGTATTACTCAGTATATAGTTTCTTACACGATTTTGCACATAAACTAAAAAATAGCATAACAAGTTAATATACTGTATTTGCCAACGATATGTAATACATTTATAATAATGTTTGATATATTTTTAACAGATAAACTATTCTTTATCAAAAGTCAGTTAATATATCTTATTAAGAGTCAGCAATTATTTTTTAGACCACGATTTCAGTATCTAGACGTCGAACCTAATTTTGATTCAATTCCCGAACCTAAGCCAGGATCAGTTGAACCGGGAACTGGAGTGAGATTTGAAAAGCTTCCACTTCGCTCCCCTCAACACTAGCCAACTAGATAATAAATACATGAAAGTTATGTTACATGGATGGCGAAAGATAAATCAGGTATACTTTTGTTTAGTTGGATATAAGCAGAATTTTGCAGTAAGCATTACACATGCCCGAGCCCTTTTGTTGGTCATGCGTCATTGTCATGACTATGGCATTCATTTGATACAGGGTAATTTTATTTTCTAATAATAAACTATTCATTTATTAACGTTAAAATTCAGTTAAAAGTCGGCTATTTTATTTTAAACCAAAATTTCGGCATCCAAATTTTGACTCCCAATTAGGTTCAATTTCTGGATACGCAACCTACAATCTGGATCACCAGACATTTTCGAAAATTTTGTAATGTAAGACTTGAAAGGCTTCCACCTCGCTTTCCTCAGCTCCAGCCAATAATCTAGATTCATATTTAAAAACTAATAAGCAAGCACAAAAGACAAAATAGATTATTGAACCTGTCAAATATCAAATCAACAAAAATTTAACTATGAGGTCTTTGCCTTGAACATTACCTTACAGGACTATGTAGATTTTATGAATAAAAATTAGAATTCCAATCATTCAATAATCCAATTCAAATAAACTTTTTTTTTATTTTGTAGAACTTACTAAGTTTTACCAAAAAAAAACAAAAAAAAAAACAATTATTTAATTTTTATTCATAAAATCTACATAGTCCCGTAAGGTCATTTTCAAGGCAAAGACCCATATTTCAAACTCAAGTAACTGATAAACAAGATATTAATGTTGAATTTATTAAAGCTTTTATTTAGATTCCTCTTTTGAGTTTAAATGTAGAGCGTTAATTATCAAATTATAAGCATATTTTAGATGATGGAGGACTTTTACTGAAAAAAAATATTGGAAGGATAAATTTTTTACATTTTAACGAACGTTGTGGGACCCGAATGGACCCTGGCCGTTCGGGGTGGGATATTACTTAATTAGGGAAGGAGTCGATCGCATCCGTCGCATTCGTCGCATGCGACCGATCAGTCGCATGTGACGCATACGTCGAATGTGGCGGATAGCAGCGATCGAGTGGAAGGTAAATATCAGTAGGATACGACTGATTAATAGTATCAGTGATA